TGGTTTCTTGTACGGCCGTGTTGTAGGCAAAGGTGACATACGGCAACACCTCGTCCCATGTCTTGTGCTCCACGTCGACGTACATGGAAATCATGTCGGCGATGGTCTTGTTGAGTCTTTCCGTGAGCCCGTTGGTCTGAGGGTGGTACGCCGTGGTGCGACGATGGCTGGTGTGGCTGAGACGAAGGACTTCTTGTGTCAGCTGGGCCATGAACGAGGATCCACGGTCTGAGATCAGGACTTCGGGAGCGCCGTGCCGGAGGACAATGGATTCAATGAAAAACTTGGCAACTTCCACAGCAGTTCCGAAAGGAAGGGCTTTCGTTTCGGCGTACCGCGTGAGATAATCTGTGGCGACGATGATCCAGCGATTTCCTGACGTCGACGGCGGAAAATGGCCAAGTAGATCCATTCCGATCTGCTGGAAAGGTGCCGTTGGCGGAGGAATTGACTGCAAGAGTCCGGCCGGCCTCGTTGGAGGTTTCTTTCGTCGCTGGCATTCATGGCATGATCGTGTGTATAGGTGGACGGTTTTGGGGAGCTTGGGCCAGTAATACTTTTCACGAATACGGGCCAGTGTCCGGCTGTAACCAAGGTGTCCGGATGTCGGGTCGTCGTGGCAGGCTTGGAAGATCTCCTCTCGAAGGTCGGTCGGGATTACCAGCAGCCACGTGGAGTTGTTGTTGCCGAAGTTCTCTTTGTAGAGAACTCCTTGTCTAATGGCGAAGGTCGGCAGGGCTCGTGAAAAAACGCGTGGTATGGCACTCCCACGCCCTTCCAGGTGCTCTAGTAGTGCACGCAGCTCAGGATCGTCTCGTTGACGTCGGGCCATGTCGTCGCTGTTCACTGCGCCCAGGAAACACTCGTCGTCATCGTCGTCGCTGCTGTCGGAGGGTGTTTCGACGGGAGCTCTGGACAGGCAGTCGGCGTCGCTGTGCTTGCGGCCCGACTTGTAGACTACGGTCATGTTGAACTCTTGTAGTCGGAGACTCCATCGCGCAAGGCGTCCTGACGGGTCCTTGATGTTCGCAAGCCAGCAGAGCGAATGGTGTTCCGTGACTACGCTGAACGGGCTTCCGTATAAGTACGGACGAAACTTTGTGATCGCCCAGACGACCGCAAGGCATTCTTTTTCAGTCGTGGAGTAATTTCGCTCCGCCTTGGACAATGTCCGACTTGCGTAGGCGATGACTCGCTCGGTGCCCTCTTGTACTTGAACCAGTACCGCGCCAAGTCCTGCGTTACTTGCGTCCGTGTGAATCTCGGTTTCCGCATCCTGGTCGAAATGTCCAAGAACAGGAGGCGCCTGCAGTCGTCGCTTCAGCTCGTCAAATGCCTGCTGCTGTTCCTCGGCCCATTCGAACTTCTCGGCGTCCTTCGTGAGGCTTGTGAGCGGTGCGGAAATCCTTGCGACGACTCGAACGAAGCACCGATAGTAGGCACATAGCCCAAGGAACCTTCGCACCGCCTTCTTGTCCGTCGGCGTTGGAAATGCTGTGACGGCGCGAGTTTTCTCTGGGTCGGGGCGAACGCCTTCGTTACTGACCACGTGACCTAGGAACTTCAGCTCGTCATAGGCGAACCGACATTTTGAAGGGGCTTCAGGGTGAGTCCGGCGGTTCGTATGGCTTGGAGAACAGCTTGTAGTCGTCGCAGGTGCTCGTCGAAGTCGCTGGAAAACACTACGACGTCGTCGAGGTAGACGAGACAGCTCTGCCACTTCAGTCCTGCCAGTACGGTGTCCATGACACGCTGGAAAGTTGCTGGCGCCGTGCACAGTCCGAAGGGCATCACCTTGAACTCGTACAGCCCATCCGGCGTGACGAAAGCTGTCTTCTCTCGGTCCCGTTCGTCGACTTCGATCTGCCAGTAGCCGCTCTTCAGGTCCATCGATGAAAAGTATCGGGAGTGGCGCAGCCGGTCTAACGTGTCGTCGATGCGGGGGAGTGGATAGACGTCTTTCTTCGTCACCGCGTTCAGTTGCCGGTAGTCCACGCAGAACCTAAGTGTTCCGTCCTTCTTCTTAACCAGTACGACTGGAGAGGCCCAGGGACTGCTTGAAGGTTGGATTATGTCGTCGTTCAGCATCTCTTGAACTTGCTCCTGGATCACTTCCCTTTCTTTAGCGGAGACTCTGTACGGTGACCGATGCACAGGCCGCGCGTCGTCCTCGGTAACGATGCGGTGCTTCGCAACGGTGGTTTGGCGCACATTTGATGACGTGGCAAAGCAGTCGCGGTATTCGGTGAGGAGGTCACTGAGCTGTCGTCGTTTCAGGCCCAGAAGCTTAGGGTCAATGTCGAGCTGCGCTGGCGACGTACTGTCTTGCTGAGGTGGCGAGGATTCGTCAGTAATGGCGGCGATGGCGGCGGAGTTTCGGAGTTCCTCGACCTGGCCCACGGCTGTACCTTTTGTGAGGTGTTGCGCTTCATTTCGGAAGTTCGTCACGAGGACCACAGTGAGGCCATCCTGAAGTTCAGCAACTCCTCTTGCGACGCCTATTCCTCTTCCAAGAAGCAACTGGAGGCTTCCTTCGAGCAGAACTTCGCCGCAGAAAGCTTCGGTGATCCCCGCTCCAAAAACCCGCAGACCCATGGGGTTATGAAACCGTGTGGGTCCCACAGAAATTGTGTGGGTGCTCGGGTCCCTATGGGTCCCCGCACAGTTTGTTTGGGTGTGCGGGTCCCCACAGAGTGTGTGGGTGTATAGGTCCCCATGGGTCCCCGCACAGTCTGTGTGGGTCTACGGGAGCTGTGTGGGTCCTGCAGAGATCCTATAGGAGCTGTGTAGGACCAAAGTCCCGTGGGAGCCGTGTGGGTAACCCATAGGGTTTCATAACCCCATGCTCTGTGGGCAATCTCTGCGGGAACCTGTGGGGGAATGCATGCTTGACACCGTATTTCACTGCAGACCATTGCCAAGAACCGGCTGGTTCTATTTTTATTTACCGATTGGCTCTTCATTTCTCTTGCTTTCGCCGGTCGTTCATTTTTTCTCCCAGTATGTGGTTTACTTTTGCTGTCCTCGACATTACAGCAATGACATCTGCATGGTGCTTTTGGCCACGGAGCTTCATCATTAGGCATTCTGAAAAATATGCAATGACAAAATATTTAAAGGAGCGCAATTTGCAGACGTAAGGCTTGAACTAATGTTCATTAAAATCACATGCCACATCACTTTCATAAACAGTTTCATTTGGAATAGCCTTTAATAATGACGCACTTGAAGAATGCAATTTCAACATGCCCTATAAAATCAATAATTAAAAAGTTAATTAACAAATCTGGGTTAATTGGTCAACATATTGTGACGGTTATCCCCTTATCTATGTCCGCCGAGCCCCACAAATCTCTCGCCCTCTTTTTTTAAATTACGTTCAAACTAAAATGGTACATTCTGTATGATGCTGAACCCGATTATATCGAACTTTGTATGAAACTTTGTGAACAGACTAGTAGCTGCTATAAAAATGCATAGCGAAAAATGCGGTTACGTCGAAGGAAAATTGCAGCGTCTTCCGATAGATAGAACTGCCAAGAGCGCCGTTTAGCTTTGCAAGCTGGCTTTCCCCCAGCACGGGGACGCATTCGGGGAAAGCCAGCTTGCAGAAAAAGCTTGCCTTTTTTGGGCGGGAGGGAGGGGGGGGGGAGGGGGGGGGGGGGGGGCAACCGCGTCCGCCCCCCGGAAGTGGGGAGAGGATGATCCGGTGAGATCTTGAAAAACGAAGAAGCGGCCACTGAATAGCCATGTGGAGTGTCCCTTATGACGTACAGACGCTCCTTCGAGAGTAAACAACTTTTCTAAATATGTCGTGTTTGTTTGTTGTCAGATTCATTCAAACTTTCATGTAGAATTACCCGCTATATCGAACTGGTAGACAGTCTTTTGCGAGTTCGACATAAGTGGGTTTGACTCTATAGCAATTCGTAATCATCGCCATTTGAAAGCTTTTTATGTCCAGTTCCTGGTTTTGACAAGTATTGGGCTTATGAAAGATACCGTCACAACGTCACCGTTTTCCACCATCAAAAACCCTAGAAAAAAGTGCTGGTTATACCCTGAATGTAATTTTTTTACACTTATGCCTGACTGCACGCGCCGCTAGCAAACGCCAAGCAGGCCGCGTGTTTGAGACACAACATATGGTGCCCCTCTCCTATCTAATGTTTGAGCAAGCCAAGATAAAACCATTAAAAAAGAAGTACAATGCTGATGCAGAATTCAGTTTAGAGAAAGTGATTAAGAGTGTTCAAACATCCTACCGGTCATTGAGAGTACTAATATACATCACATATTACAACCCTGCTTTTATTTGCCACTGCATGACAAGTACTTTGAGCTACTGTAATTTTAAACAATACCTACTGGGAGTTAACAATGTTCCATGGGCACATTGAAGTGACCAGATAAATGGGCATATTTCGCTGATATATTACAAGAGAATGCCTGAAAGCGGTGATTTTAATATTTCAAAGATAAGGACATAAACCCCCTTGCGTCAAAAAGAAGAAAGAAGAGAATTGTTGCAAATTGCAACAATTCTCTCCACGAAAAAAAAATTTCGTAGAGCTTTTTTTTTTTCTTTTTTTTTGTGAAGACATCAGTTTATTCAGGGTCACTATAGCATGTACTGCAACTGCAAATGATTGTAATAAAAAGGAAATGCCCTACGCATTGCTTACTTCATATAGCCGAAATAAAGTCCAGTTGCACAAAAAAAAATATAAATCTGGTGTTGGCACGCAAAAAATAAAAAAAATATAGCTTTTGTGTTTTACCGAGGTTACCTAATCTTCCTATAATTTTACTAAAAGCTTCCACCATTATGTCACAGCTGTGTGCTCAATCCTATCAGTTTTATGCGGTCTATCCAAAGATCACCGAAACATTGTGAACTCCCAGTATAATACTAACTAGCTGCCGAGATACTGCCTTGATTGAGAAGATTTTTCAAATAACTGCTTAGGTTACGCTTACGTGAGATAGTTTGCACTCGCCTCTTAGGAATGCCGCTTTCTTGGGTGTCAGAGGCAGCCTGCTGTCCTTGTTAAGACTGACATTCGACGCCATTTCGGCCACAGTCCTCTGCAGGACACTGGACCCCCACAGAGCAATGGCCAGGTTCTTCACAGCAACGCTTGACCTTATGTCCTTGTTCACTTGTTGTCACCCCAGGCTTTCCACGTCACCTTGACATCAACCGTCGTAGAAATGCATCTATAAAAAATTAGAATAGGAAGCGAAACCGGTGTATTCGGTGGTGAGATCCTCCTTTCATGAAATGCTGCTTCGTGCATATTGATTAAAGCAAGTTTCGTTAGTTTAACTCCTTTTTTAGTTGAATCATTTTCAAAAATCCTGCGAAGCTCCCATGCAACACTACTACGGTGCTCGAGCTATCAAGTTCTTTTATTACGTTCCCTGATTCTGCCGCTGTCAACTGCAAGGGGTACTGGGTGGCAAGCCCTCTTGTAGTGTCGGCTGCTGGCGAAGATTATTTGGCCGGCTCAAAAAAACCTGACAGTGCGATCACTGGCTGGCCTTGTGATTTCGCTCTTCCCTTTCCAGCCCCCTTTGCCTCCTTAGATGGTGTTATATGAATCCCCCCCCCCCCCCCCCCCCCCCGAACGTTTCGGTCGGCGTAATGGACAGAGAACATGAGAAGATGCGCCCACTGATTTGAGTTGCCGGTGCAAGGCGCGCCACTTTTTTACCTGTGTGCGGGGTTATCATGCAACCTCGAGCGTGGCTGGGACTATAAAACTAACGCTTTAAAAGAGAAGAAGCCACTTTATGCTCCAAGAGTGCTGAGTTTCATTCCCATGTACCTGGTGAACATAGGAAGAATAGACCATTTTCAAAACCTAAGCAAGCAACATTGACAGTCGCCATTTGTTGGACACGAAAGCTGTGATTGGATCGAAGACCATGTGAAATGCTGACGTTGCACTCACGTCTATCCACGCCAATCACTGACACGGCGCTTGTTTCCAAAGCGTACTCGGAATCCGCGTTTAAGAAATGGCGGCCTTGGATATGCACACACTTCTGAAAAGGGTTTATTGTATGGGCCAAAGGTAATTAATGGGGAATACGATGCTCCAAGTCTTTCCGCCTAATGCACTCAAAATGTTGAGCAGAATGTTAGAGATGCAGGTTTAAACTTTCTACAAAGAGATGTCGCCTTAGATATGTTTTTCAAGACACTAAAACTTGGGTCTTACACCACTGCTGAAGTGATGCAACACCAAAAAACAATAATTTCTGGCGATGGTGCTGAAAGAGAGATCTTATTTGAGCAACATTTATCGAGATCTAGATGGTCAATGACAAATTGTCAAGGCCTTTTCATCTTGAAGACATTGTGCAAGCATAGAAATGCCTTCTTTCCAGAGGTATCTCTTATAAAGCAAAAACTTACCAAATCAACTTACCATTTCACATTCTAGGAAGTTTAGCAGCTGATATGGCTCCACCTCAGCGGGCTCTTTAGCAGCTGCCTCAGCGGATGCAGGTCCGACTGTACCAGCTGCTCCATCTAAGGTTGCAGGTATTGCAGCTGCACCACCGAAGGCTGCATCTGTGTTGCACATGCTCTGCATCACAGGAGCTGGTGCTGCTGCCACTTATTTTGTGAAAAATATAAAAAAATATATGACATGAGTCAGAACAATGTGCAGGACTGCCACATGATGTGTGTAATGCTACAATAAAAGCTGAGAGTGGGAGTGGGGTCAACCAACCACGCACCAGCTTGGAGCAATGCGGCTGCACTCCTGCCCCTGTGTATACATGGAGAGCAGTGCCACATAACACAAGGCTGATTGCAGTTTGGTCCAGCCCATACGCAGCTTCTATGACACTGTCAGCAAAAACTTAATAGGTATAGTAAGGGTCGTGGACATGACATTTATGATGCTTTAGCTTGTCAAAGAGAGTATGTTGAATGCATACCATGCTCCTGCAGTCATGTATTCGAGGTTAGGAAATAGCACGAAATATTTTTCATAAATATCTACTGCAAAGCTTCGCAACTCAGGAGTGTTCTGAAGAGTTTTACAGATTATAGCTTCTTGAGTACACGGCTTGATAGACCGAGTAAAATGTTTTTGGGCATAAGTGAGGCAGAGATGTACAAGAATCGATGCAAAAAGTCCGCAGTACGTGGAGACCAGAGTTCGGAACAGGTGTGACAGCATTTGGCACGACAAATATGCCAATGTCATTATTTATTTTCGCAACATTAAAATGACTCTGAAAATGCGACCAGCTATGGGGTGTATTCACGCAAGTCTTGTGAGTGTTGAATTGTAGGTACAGCTCCTGGTTGTGTCCTTGTGCGATATATGACAAAATATTATAGATATTAATACTGGAAACTTCTCTGAAAACCAATGGGCACGGTGGCGAAGGACGTGAGAGGCACTGTTTACCACTCTTGCCGTTCGTTTGTGTTTGTGTGTTGTTACTTATGCCCGAGTCCCACTAAAGCGACAAACAGAAACAGACGACACCGACAAGCCTTCAACACATGCGGTATCCTCGCGATGGTATACCTAAATTTGGCAGGCGTTTATAGTCGTTCGGTGCTCGTGAAGTGACCCCGGGTGATTGCAAGCCTGCCGAAGATACCCTCGCGTGCGTAATACTTGTATCCGAGTGTAGCCTCTTTTATTCTATGCACAAGCCTGTGAAATCGCGACAGAGACTCTGGTTTGAGGCTCGTCGCTGTCGTTTGTTTCTGTATTGTCGCTCTAGTGGGACTAGGGACTAACAAGCGCACCAATGGGAAGGCTTTAGCCATTATTGGGAACACTAAATAAAGAAATACAAAAAAATACAACACCCAGCAACACTGTATGCAAGTAGTGATGCACTTCTGTTGTCAACTCTGCATTCCGCTTACGAATGAAATGTGCAATTTCCCTAGAGGCTTTCATTCCATGCGAGTGGCATTAGAATTGCTGAAGGCCAGCCCATAAACACAGTCTATGTTAGAACAATCCCAGCAGCAATTAGTTGCTATTGTATTGCCCAATATATAGAGCACCTTACCATAAACAGCCTTGGCAGTCTCCCATGAAGCCTGGACTTCAGCAGAGGAGACTGTCATCCTGTGTCGTCCCAGGACACTCACATCGGGATGGTGAAAGTGAATGCCAACTTCTGCTTGGCAAGGGCTGCAGTAAGTATAAAGATGAAAACAGAGTACAATATACAATAAAAAATATTGTGGACCAACTTGAAAAAAGTGCACAAAAAAAAAAAGACAAGGACAAAAGGACAGGAACACGTAGAACACAGACAGGTGCACACTAGCAACTCAATCCATTAAAAACAAAAGAAAGAAGAGAGCATCAGAGAAATCAAAAAGGCTGTGCTCGGAGAACTGAGCTTCAGGAACCGTGGCGCGAGGCAAAGATGTGAGGTAGATTGTTTTACAGAAGTTCTAGAATTAACAACATCCTTTCCATGTAGTAAAGTGGTGAGTTCATTCTAACTGAACATATTAAAAAATAGTACACAAAAAACAAGGAATAAAGGGTCGAGGAATACATACACTACATACAACTGCAGACTCCCAAGTCACATAAATTATAGCAAAAATAAAAAAAAAAGAATGCAGAAGGAGTTTTAGCAAAAGTCTAAACAGGTCCAAGTGGAACGTGTTAATTCAACCATAGCCACAAGGCTAAAAACAATTTCCTTGTTAGCTCAAGTAACAGACGAATGTGCAGACACATTGGTTGCCCATACTATGAATAATAAACGCCTAAAATAATCCTCTTTTATGTTTTTCATAGTATACACCAACTCATGTTTACAAACAAACCGGAGCGCCCCTAGCGGACGTCACCGGCGCCGCGCATGCGCCGTGGATGGTGGGCAAGAAGCCCGCCGTCGCCCATAAACAAACCATTGAATTGCGTTGTTGTCGGCGTCGGTGGGAGTCCCCGTGCTCTTTTTTGCGTTCGAATTGTTGATTCTACGTCCTCCTAACAATGTCTGACTACTTGAGCGGCTTCAGCAAAACTATCGAGGCAAAACTTTGCGTGAATAATGTGACTTGCGGCGATTCATTTCACGTGGACGCTGCAGAATGGGCGCTAAAGCCTGACTCCCACGTCGAGATTCTGCTCGCTATTTTCAGTCGCGACGTCGCCCGGACTGCAAAAGCGTGGACCGTAGCTGAGATGGTGGACATCGATACTGAAAACCTCAAGTAGAATCGGGCATTACAAGTCGGTGATGGCCACTGGTAACAATGATCAACAACTTCTTATATCTGTTTACACTTAGCCGACTTACCCCAACCAACCTTCAAAAGTGTTTTGAGGCCTGCACTTAGTTCTTATCGCAATTACCGGGTCAATGTTTGGTTTACGAGCCGCTGTCGTTTGAACGAACTGACGACAAAAAGCAGCCAAGTTTGAAAGAGCAGACGAAAGTTGGAACGCACGCGCAATGGAGTACGGGCAAGAAGCACCGCGTCCCGCGTCAACAAACCATTCGAATGTCACGTTGTCGGCGTCTGTGTGAGTCTGCATACTCTTTTTCGCGTTGGAGTTGTCGATTCTACGTCCTCATCGCAATGTCTTACCACTTTAATCGCCTGAGCGAAATCACCAAGGTCTAAGGCTCGTTACGCTGCTAAACTTTGCATAAATAATTTGACGTGCGGCGATGTATTTGCATGAACGCCGCAGAATGGACGTACAAAACCATGATGAGACTCTTCTAGCTATTGTCGGTTGCGACGACCCTCGTGCTGCAAAAGTGTAGAAGGTAGCGGCGATGATCGACGTCGATACTGAAAATCGGAAGCGGGAACAGACAAAGCGTAGCAAGTAGGTGATGGCCACCGGTACCAATGATCAACCTCTTGTATCTACTGCTTACACCGAGCCTACTTAAGTCTTTTGAGGCCTGCAATTACTTATTGCAATCACCGGGTCAAAGTTTGGTCTACGGGCCGCTTTTGTTTGAACGAGCAGACGACAAAAAGCAGATAACTTTGAAAGAGCAAAGGAAAGTTCGAACGATCAGGCGGCCGTGTGAATTTGAAGACGCACTGAATCCGTGGGTGGTCCGGACAACTTGGGGGTTTTCTCTCGGTCATGTTGGAACAAAGCAAATACATCTGGCGACTACAAATTGTGGCCCGCACACGCAATCGTAGTTCGACAGCGTCAGGTTTGCCCTTTTCACGGCTGCAATCGACGTTCTCGGACGAACGGAGGGTGCAAAAACACATGAAAACTGATCTTCAAACCTTCCCAGACTCTCTTTGTAAAGCCCCCATCGCAGCATTTTGACGAAAAGGCAGGTTTTTTGTCTCGTTTTTTCCAAAGGAATACAGGAATGCATGTCTGGCACGGCGACTTCTGCCCACCGCCCCAGACCGGAAGTGCGTCCGGCGCGCCACCACCGCGGCGTGACGTAGGAGAGTTGAGTTGGTGTATATGCTAATTATCCACGCTTTTTTCTAAGGATGACATACACGAGCAGTGTAAACAGTGGATAGATAGCTGACAGTCCATCGTGAATTTTAGATAGAAATTGAGCTGTTTTGATGTATTAGCCATCGATCTGTTACCTTAAACGACGAGAAAATTATGGTTTTAAAATCTGCACTTGCGAATGGGTAAATCAGCGCGTTCCACTTGGGCCTCTGCTCGAGCTCCTTCCGCATTCTTTATTTCCTTCTTTGTTTATGCGAGTTGAGTCTGCGCTTGCATGTGGTCTATGCGTTACCCTCCTTGTCTCCATGACTTTTTGTGAACTAATTTTCGAGGTGTTCAATTAGCCCCAGCTCATCCCCTTACTACCAAAAACAATTACAACCTACACCATTCACTAAAGGCAGTACCAAAGAGAAAAAAACAGGAATTGGGTGAGGTATGAACACTATATACTTACACTGAACAAAATATACCTCCCACAAATTGGCGCGACACAATTCAAAATAAGGACACGCTTGTAAACTACCCCAGAAGCGGTGTCAAAAAGTTTTTCGCGGGCACAAATTTTTGCGATCGGGAGTGGCATGCTATGCATTAATCACCGTGGGGTGATTTTACCGCGGCACCAATTTTTGGCAATTCTTTTCCGGTTATAAATCGAGAAAATGAAGTCGTTTGCAGGCGACTGGGCGGCGGAAGCTACGGGCCTGCTCGATCAATCAATCGCTGACTTTTGCCTGGTCCAGCTCTCCGGACGCAAATACGCACACAGAATCCACCTGTGGTGTCAAACCTAGAGCTTCGGCGATGGAGGGGCACCGCGCTCTTCCAGACATTCTAGTTTACCAGTAAACAGTACGGTGGAGGGAGGCAATCAAACCACCCCCCCCCCCCCCTCCCTTTATTTTTCCGTCTTAGCATGCCTGCCTGCCTGCCTGACTGCCTGCCCGCCCACCCCCCCGCCCGCCCCCATGTCCCGAAAATTTCCGCCGCTACTGATGGACCTGGAGCGAGTATCTGTGACCGCTAATTGGTGCGAGGATGGAGTGCTCTGCATCGGGGAAAAAAAGAAGAAACACAGCCTGGCATAACACCATTCGCGCACAATTAGTAACAACGATACAAGCAAGTGATCTAGAGACAATAACAAGTATTATGAAGGGAGGAAAGAATAATCTAGCCCTAACGAACAAAGAAAGGAACTTACTTTGAAACGACCGTGCCACGATCTCGGCTGTTGAGCAGATTCGACGTAGTTGCACGGCTCACAGTAGCTTCCTTTTTTCAGACACATTTGAAACTAAGGTGAACTCCACGCATCACGAATAATCGGTAAATTTACTTTATGACGGAGATTTGAAACACACACGGACAACGCGACCGGCAAAACGTGCAAAATAAGATTGTGGATTATATTGGATCGCATTCGTTGGCTATTATGGATGCCTAGCGACTTTACCGAGGCTATGTTCGCGTATCTTCAACACGCTTGCAATAAAACGATCAGCAAAGCGCTTTAAAACGATTACAAGACACAGTAATATTAAATTATTGAGCATGTCAACATCACCACAATGTTAGAAATACAATCCTGAACAGGTAGCAAAAAATTAAATACGAGACTAGCCACCCAATGTTTAAAAACGAATTTGGCAGACATATAAGTTCCAAAAAAAACCACTGCATCCGATGGGGCGCGTGGCCTATCTTATTAGCGCGATATGCTTGTGATCATATGGTCGATGGTTCGAATCCCAAAAAATTAAACATTTTTTAATTTTTTTTATTATGTTTTTTTTTGTTTTTATTGATTTAAATATTTGCTATGTTTTTTTTTTTTTTTGCGGTCGCCGGCCCCCTCCTTTCGGGTAAAAATCACTGAAAATGTAAAAATAGGAAGTGCGAGCCCAAGTTTGAATTGTGATACATGCACAAGCCGTGGCCCTCTTGTTTTGCCGAGATAATTCGCTCCCTCCGTGCTAATAGGTGGGTCAGTGTAATAGGCAAGCGCCGCAAATCCTTTCAACGAAGTAAGGAAGGTAATAATAATGGGAATATTGAGAGAAAAATGGGAAAATGCGTAAGTGGTCAAACTAGCTGCCACAGTGAGGCAGCCAAAGTTTGACTGAAGGCGGTCATCTTTACCCACTATTCAAACGAAAATACCGCTACTTTAAGGCAGTTATTTACCTAAGCTCATAGCGCGCTACGTATTAAGCACATTTCTAAATTTTCTGACTACCGGAAAGTAGTACTTAATTTTGTTCTGGTACATCCTGGTTTCACTTATCGGGGTTGCACTCCGCAGTTTTACTTCTTTATTAGGCCTAGACATGTTTTTATTTCTGACATCCAAGAACAGTGCGGATACTTAAACTAGCTAGCAGAAACGGTATCGTTCGGTGTTATAACAGTTGTTTCGTAGCGTCAAGGGGTCACGTTCACAAACCCGGCAGGGCAGACATCCACAGCGCATTGGTGTTTCTCGTTTTTTTCTGCTAAAAAAAAAAAGAAAAAAAAGGAAGGTTTTTTTTTTATATTCCCGCTTTTCTGGTGCGGTATGTCTATAACATAAGCTATCGGAATTCGGGCGACAGATCGTCTGGCTATGTGAACATTTGAAATATTTCTGTTAGATGATCGTAACT